CCAACCACTATCAGTTCCACTCCCTGGCAATATATATTGTTGGGAGCATATCCTTCTAGTCTTTTGTTGTTTGTTTTGTTAATCCTCATGGATATTTTTCCATTGATTTTTAGAGAGAATGGAAGGAAGAGGGAGAGTCAGAGAGAGACATTGATTGGTTGCCGCCTGCACGTGCCCTGCCCAGGGCCAGAGATCAAGCCTGCAAACACTGTACGTGCCCCTGACTGATATTGAACCTGGAACTCTTAAAACTGCTGGCCAAGGCTCTATCCACTGAGCCAAACCAGCTAGGGCTCTTTCTAGTCTTTTTATGATACATACAATCATTTAAAAATTACCAACTTTAATACTTTAAATGTGTTTTTAAAAGAAGAGTATCTGAGAGGCTACACCAGCCTGTGACAGAGCAACTCTCCTGTAATAGAGAATGTAACGGGGACAGTCAAAGGTAGGAAGGATGGGTCAGCCCAGCAGAAGGAGAATGTGGGCTTTTGAGCCCACAACCAACACATCTCTTACTGTATGATTTTGACAAATGAACCTCTTCAAGCATCTGCTTCCTTATCTGGGGATGATAATACTGCCTGATGAAAGTGTTGTGAGAATTAAACGCAATAATGTATGGAAAATACCAATTGCTCAATAAGTGGTGGTTGGATATTCAAATATACTTTCAGTGAGTTCAATAATGAGTTGACTACTTTAAAGGTAGAATATCAAAATAACTAATAACAATGACAAGGCTTTTTCAGAAAGTATATGGGTAATGCATTTATTGTAGAAAATTTAGAAAATGAAGATAAGCTTATATTCTCCTAAATACACACAAATGAAATTGCCCATAATTCTACCCCCCTCAGAGATAGTCACTATTAATATTTTTAAACATATCCTTCCATTCTCGTCTTAATTATATACAGGGTGGGGCAAAAGTAGGTTTATAGTTGTGAGTATGCGAAACTGTTTATTCTTGTATTATTTTTTTACAGTTGAGACGTATTTTTTATGTGTACATTATCAAATTCCAAGTAATAAATTTAACATGACCAGAAAACAAATTATCCTTGACAATTTCCCGCATGCTCTGAGTTAAGACTTGCATTTGCAGTCATCATCAGCGAAGCTCTGTAATCCCACCAAGAGTCCTTGAAAGCATGTTCACACACAACCCAATCCCAGGTAATGATGGACCAGTATTAAGTAAAATGGCATTAAGGACCATCTTCTCAGATTTCAATAAATTGTAATCTTTTTGCTGGTGGAGAGTCTTGCCTCAATGGTGATGACTGTTGACTGATCAGGATGGTGGGTGATTGTGGCAATTTTTTAAAACAATGAACGCCACATTGATTGACTTCTTTTCATGAATGACTTCTCAATCTGTAGCACTGAGCTATTCTTGTATTATTATTTACTTTTCCATACAACTGAAACCTACTTTTCCCCCTCCCTGTATTTACATAAACATATTAAAAAAGGAACGAGTTTTGGTAATAATAAAATATTTTAAAGTTATATATGCTGTGTTTTGTGTTTTAATTAAGAAATAATAGCCCTAACCGGTTTGGCTCAGTGGATAGAGCGTCAGCCTGCGGACTGAAGGGTCCCAGGTTTGATTTTGGTCAAGGGCATGTACCTTGGTTGCGAGCACATCCCCAGTAGGGGGTATGCAGGAGGCAGCTGATCGATGGTTCTCTCTCATCAATGTTTCTAACTCTCTATCCCTCTCCCTTCCTCTCTGTAAAAAATCAATTTAAAAAATTTAAAAGAAGAAATAATAAAACTAGATCATGTGATTTACCTGAATTTAGAGTTTGTTTTCTACTTATTTCAATTTAATGCAATTTAGTTATATTATTGTTTTAAAGTTACTGATGTTCATATTGTATGGTAGAAAAACCAAGGAATGGGAGTTAGGTCTGGGGTCAAGCTGTGTGGCCTCACTTAACTCCCCTGAGCAATGGGAGGAGATGAGATAAAACTATCTGAAATCATATTGTCAACCATAAAACTCTATTAAAATCCTTACATTTAGTTCCACATTCTTTGTTCTGATGTTAAAGTACACTTCATTAATAACTCGAGCTGTTAATGAGTAGTATTTATTATATAATTAGGCTTCTTTGGGGGTCTGTACACAGCCTATTGGCTACACACTGGCATTGAAATACTCAAATTACATTTCCATTTCAACTAATTGCTTTGCTGACCTGCAAGGTCCCATGCTAATGTGAAAGGAGGAAAGAGAAGAGAAGGCTTGGGACTGGGCAGCATTTTCCAATTAACAGGACATGGATCGGGCACCTTCTTTATAAAGAGGGGGGAACGGTCCCCAGATATAAGGAGCTTACCGTGCAGTCTACCTGCAGGTATGTAGTTAAAGATTTAATTCTGTTTGCCCTGTAAAGTAATTTGTTTAATGGATAACCCTACCATTTACTTGCTTTGGAGGAACTAAAGTTATTGCCAGATGTTAGACCCATAATAGGCAATTACCAAGACATTAAGATTTGTAAGTAATATACGAGGTTGCTCTTTTTTACACAAAACAAAATATTTTTGTGTTACCATTAAAACAAATATTTGTAATCATTTTGTAGGGAGTTTTGCTAGGAGGATTTAGCAGTCAGGATTCGTAGTTATAAGTCACAGAAACCTAAGCTATGTGATTAAGGAAAAGAAGAATTTATTGCCATCTACTATCTAGCTTACAGAATTGCTGGGAAGGCTAGAGAACTGAGCTGGAGGCTTGGCAGCAGGGACAATGTCCAAAATCACACCTGCAATCCCATCTGGTGAGAACAGCTCTCCTGCTGCCTTCTGTACCAAATGCTCCACCAACCCTCCCATCCTATGATGCTGGTGGCCTCGTGACTCAGATTCAGGTGAGTCAGTGGGAAGTGGACTGATTCCCAGATTCGTCACTTGGGGAGTTCCCAAAGGTATAAAGGGATTTGGATGCTGACAGCCAGAAAGAAAACAAATATCACCTACGGAGCAGTAGTTGTCCTAATTGTGAGTATAGTCAGGGATTTATCTTATTCAGTTATGAATAGGCCAGATATACAAATGGCAGCCAAGGCCAGAATATCCTTAACCTTAATGCTTCCAGGACTAAGAAAAAAGGCAGGAAGGGTCCCCACTAACGTCCTAGACGTAGGAAATGTGTTCCTGGTCCCCACGGTTGAGATTCAGAAAACACCACCAAAAGAAATGCAATACAATAATTTCCTGGTCTTTCCAGACTAGGTCAAATCTTCCTGTTATAATGCTTGTACACATCTGCACCTCTTACTGAAATGAGGACAAATGTTACTATTTGTAAAAGACCGGTCTAGCAGTTTTACTCATAATAGCCCCAAATTAACGATAAACCAGATGTCCATCAACAGAATAATAGAAATGAGAAATAAATTGTGGTTAAGTCATAAATACTACGGGGGCGGGGGGGGGGGGTGGAGAGAGAACTGCTGTTACACACGAAACATAACGCAGTGCTGAACAAAAGCCAGATACAAGTACATACTGCATAATTCCACTTACATAAAGCCCCAAGGCAAAATTAAGTGATGGTGATCTAAGAATAGTGGTTATTTTGGGAAAGCCAATTATTAACAGGGAAGGGGTATGAGGTAGCCTTCTGGGGTATGAAAATGTGTTATGTACTGCGCTGGATAGTAGTTATATGAGTATATACATATTTAAATATTTCACTCTACCCTTAAGATTAGTTCACTTTATTTTTTTATTATTATTTTAGTTCACTTTATGCACTTAAATATGTCTGTTCTGTATCAATTAAAAACTTGTTTTATGCCCTAGCTGGTTTGGCTCAGTGGATAGAGCGTCGGCCTGCGGACTTAAGGGTCCCAGGTTCGATTCCGGTCAAGGGCACATGCCCAAGTTGCGGGCTTGATCCCTCATGTTTCTGTCTCTCTCTTCCTCTTCCTTCTTCTCTGAAATAAATTTAAAAAAATTTTTAAAGTTGTTTTAAAAATCTAGTCTGTGGTGGGAGAATTTTGAGATGATTATTGACTAGGAAGGGGAGTGAAGGAGCCTCTGGGTGCTTTACCTTGATCTGGTTGATTACCCAGGTATTCATCAAGCCAAACACTTAAAATTAGTGCCTTTTTCTGTACATATGTAATATCTCAATTTTTTTCACAGTATTTCTTAATGGTTTATCAAGAGAAGCAATTCCAGATACTCCAAGGTTTCGGGTTCCATCTCCGGTCAGGGCACATACAAGAAGCAACCAATGAATGAATACATAAATAAGTGGAACAACCTCTTTCTCTCTCTCTCTCCCTCTCTCTCTCTGTTCCTCTCTCAAAATCAATAAATAAATTTTTTTAAATATATTTTATTGATTTTTTACAGAGAGGAAGGGAGAGGGATAGAGAGTTAGAAACATCGATGAGAGAGAAACATCGATCAGCTGCCTCCTGCACACTCCCCACTGGGGATGTGCCCACAACCAAGGTACATGCCCTTGACCAGAATCGAACCTGGGACCCTTGAGTCCGCAGACCAATGCTCTATCCACTGAGCCAAACCGGTTAGGGTAATAAATAAAATTTTTTAAAAAGAGAGAGAAACTATTCCTTAGCTCAAATATTCATGCTTCATAGTTCAGGAATATGGGTCAGTGATAAACTATGAAATTCAATCCAAAGAGGTTCTTTATATTTCTTTTTTTTTTTTAATTCTTTACATTTCAAGATCACCTTATGCTCTGAAAGATACCAGCCTTCCTCATCTCCTGAAAATCTTTCATGGAGTCATAATTTCTGTGGAAATCTACAGATGCCTTTTTTTTTTTTGGTTTAGCCACAGCAAACTTATAGAAAGCTGCAACCCCCAGGGATACAATGATGGCTCCAACAATATGAAATTGCAGACGCTTGGTCAGAAAGACACACATCAGAAGTTTTGTCAAAGCACTGGAAGACATGGTAGCTATATTCTCAACACCAGCGTCCTTCATAGCGGAGAAATGGACGATGCTCCTGTAATACCTCAATTTTTAACAATCATATGTATGTTTTAAGAAAAGTATGTTTCCAGTTTAAAACAATGTAAATTTAGAAACACAATCCTTTCAGAAATTGAGAACTGCCTACTGTGCTAGTGGTCTTTGGAAAACATTTACAAAGTTATGGCTAAGACAACAGTTTTACAGCTGTTGGTTTAATGACTCATATTTGAAACCCAAGATTGTGTGTTTGTGACTTTGAACCAAACCCCCCAGCTAAGATGGCAGGTTATAACCATTTTCTTCCCCTTTCACTCTCTGAGCAGTCCCCAAACAGAAACTCTACAAAAGAACGAACCTGAAGATTATTTCTACCTGTTCACATGCTATCCTAACGCTGTATTCATGCCTATGAAGTCTCTTCGTGCATAGGGCAGGAAAGGGTGTGTGACAGGTGAGGAGAATACTGTTAGTAATGTGTGAAAAACAGCAGCCCTGCCCTATTTAAATCTTGTGTGTGATCAGGAAGCCTGCCAACGTTGTTAATAGTCAAGGGTACTCTGGGGATTGTTATTGCTGAAGGGCAAACCCAAGTTAAACCGTGGGACAAAGCTATGCAGAACTACCCTAACGAGTATTTGGAAGGTGCCTGCCATGTGATTCAGCCACCCAGAGCAACAGGGAGGTGGAAATGGTCTGCTGCTTTTCCTATAATCAGTGGTGATATCCAGGGTTTTCTTAGAAACCCTTGGGATTAAAATCAGAATATGGACAGATTACCTACAGCAAGAATGTTATTGTAAGGTGTCTGATGTCAACATGCCATATGTCAATAATTCTTCATGAGTCACTTTTATCGTATCCCTGTTTCCCTACAGGTGGCTCCTTGATTTTCTTCTATTCTTGTGATGAGAAAGTGGTGCTGAATGGCTGGACTACAATAATTCCATTTCATCTTTGTGACATTCAAGTCCTCAGCAGCTCACATCTAGGCTGGGATGGCCACCTACCTGGTCTTCCCATCTCTATTTTGTGATGTAAGTTGAACATGCATGAGCCTCTCCCATGTGCAAGGCAGATACTTTGCTCATCCTACTCATGAGGCCTAGCCATGCTTTCCTTTCATAGCAGTCACTGGTGTGCCATATGCCCTGAACTTTGTTAGAAGCTGTGGAGTAAGTGGTTAGGAGGACTGGCTCTGGAACCAGACTGCCTGAGTCCAAATCCTGACCATGCCACTGACGAGCTGTGTAAACTCAGACACGTTACTTCACCTCTTTGTGCCTTAGGTTCCTTATTAGATAATGGAAATAATAATATCATCACCCTCCTAAGGTTTTTGTGAAGGGTAAGTGAGCTAAAACATGTAAAATACTTAGAACTGTATCTGAGCCCACAGAATCATAGCAAACATTCACAGATTATTCATAAAATGTGCTTTTATTTTATGTTGTATTTACATCAATGAATTATTTTTGCTTGTGCTAGGGTGGGAGGCTGAAGGATATAGACAGGTGAGGAAAATGCTGTTTGTTAGTAATGTGGGAAAAATACCAGCCCTTTCCTATTTTTTTTTTTTTTTTTTTTTTATTTTTTTTTTTTTTTCCCCTTTCCTATTTTTGTGGTGTAGTCATAGAATGCTACAGAGCTATAAGAAAGAATGAACCACTCCTACCTGCAAAATGTGACAGAATATTGAATAAAAGCCAGACAGGGTAGATACTAGACAATCCCATTTATATAAAGCTCCAAAATAGGCAAAAAAAAAAAAAGCAATGGTGATATGTCAGAAAAGGATTCTTTTTCTTTCCTTTTCCCTGAAGCCCACTGCCTTTAAGTGGTTGAGCTGGTTATCAGAATCACCTGGGATGCTATTTTTTTTCCTTTTTATTGGATTTATTGTGGTGACACTGGGCAACAAAATGATATAGGTTTCAGGTGCACAATTCCACACCCCATCATCTGTATACTGCACTGTGTGATCACCATCCCAAGTCTCCGGTGTGCCATTTATCCCTTCTATGTCCCCCTCCACCTACCCCCACCGCTCCTCCCCCCAGCAGTCACCACACTGTTGTCCGTGCCCATGAGTTTGATGCTGTTATTAATTTAAATTCTTAGTTCCCTCCCTGGGATTTTTTTCACCAGTTTGGAGTGGGGGCCAGGAATCTGTATTTATGTCTAGCCCATGGGATACCCAGGGAAGAAACCCAGGGAACAAATATTCCAACCTCCTTCTTCTCCTCCTCTTTCCATGTCCTGCTGGTACCTCCCATTGCCTGAACCCAACAGAAGGCAGAGACAAGGAGCCTGATGATGTAGCCTACCCAGGTCAGCTTCCCGGGTCAGAGTGGAGAAGTGAGGTGAGTAGATCGGGAGGAATCCCAACCAACATCAACTCTATGATTTGAATGCGATTCTTATCCCATTTTACAGTTGAGGAAACTGGGGCCCAGAGCTAGATCCTCAAGATTCCTACACAAGCAATGCTCACTTCTACCTACAGGGCATTACTCTTAATGGGATTTGCATGGAAGCTCTTATGGCCTGGATGCCTCCCCACTGAATGCCCAGCTTATTTAACTCTTCTTCTATTGCACCATTTATAGTCAGAGCTGCAGAGGGCACAGCTCATTATTCTCCTGGTTCCATAAATTTATAGAATGCTGGAGTCAGAAAGGTAAAGGAGAGAGAGAGAGAGAGAGAGAGAGAGAGAGAGAGAGAGAGAGAGAGAGACTTGTTGTTCCACTTATATATGCATTCATTGGTTGCTTCTTATATGTGCCCTGACTGGGAATCGAACCTGAATTCTTGGCATATCAGGACGGTGCTGCAACTAACTGAGATACCTGGCCAGGGCTGAAGCCCAAATATATTTCATGTATCCATTTTCCATTTCCTGCCTAGACTGTAAGCCGCAGGAGGTCAAAAACCAAGTCTTTTACACCATCTCTACCTTCCACACCCTTCAGCAGAGTGAAACACATTTCTGATACTCAACAAACTCATGTTAGTTGTTTTATTTGGTTAATTATTATTATTTGAATAACAGATGAACTCTTTTTTTTTTAATATGGAACTTTTCACACATTTGCATGTCATCCTTGTGCAGGGGCCATGCTAATCTTCTCTGTATCACAGATGAACTCTTTTAGCATTGAAATCATCTTGCTGAATATGAGAGAGAAACAAACATCCTCATTCATAGCTTTTGAATGTCCATTGTCAAAATGTCAAAATTTAATACAGTTCTTTAAAAAAGCAATACCTTGCCTTGGCTCAGTGGATAGAACATTGGCCTGTGGTCTGAAGGGTCCCAGGTTTGATTCCGGTCAAGGGCACATGCACATGCCCGGGTTGTGGTCTCAAGGCAGCACCCTGGGCATGTGCAGGAAGCAGCCGATCAATTATTCTCTCTCATCATTGATGTTTCTGTCTGTCTCTCGCTCTCCCTTCCTCTCTGAAATTAATAAAAATATTTTTTTTTAAAAAAAGCAATACCTTCTGCCTGGCTGGTGTGGCTCAGTGGCTGAGCATCGACCTATGAACCAGGAGATCACGGTTCAATTCCCAGTCCGGTGCACATGCCTGGATTGCAGTCTAGATCCCCAGTGTGGGGTGTGTAGGAGGCAGCCAATCAATGATTCTCTCTCATTATTGATGTTTCTATCTCTCTCTCCCTTTCCCTTCCTCTCTGAAATCAATCAAAATATATTTAAAAATAAATAAATAAGCAAGCAATAACTTCTGACTTGGCAATCTCACTTGTAGGAGTTCATCCCAAGGACAAATTCATGTTTATGGATACATGTTCACCTCAGTGTTTATAATAGTACACATACAAATATGTATGCAGTGTGAGAAACCAATATACAGTCTTCAGACAAGGAGTCCAGGAAGACAATCCCAAACAGTGAGGACTTGATCAATAACTGCCAGTTTCCCTAATTTTTAACCTCCTCCCATACCTTCCAACTTAGGACTAATCAGAGAAAGCCAAATACGCTCCCAGAACCAGTCACACTTCCAGTGAGCCCACCTCCAGCTTCCCCTGCCAAAGACCTCCACGCAGGGCATGCCTACAGCCTTTCTTTTCTTTCCACTGTGAAGCTTTTCAACTCCTCCGCCTGCCTTTGAGTCTCTGCCAAATGCATGCTTCCTTCCCATAGCAAGCTCTGAATAAATAGCTTTTTTTTTTTTTACTTGATCTCATTTGAGAGGTCTTCACTTATTTTCATAACTGGAAACAACCAAAAAGGTTTGACAACAGAAAGTTTAAATAACTTATGGCATACCTCTGTGATGGAATGTTATACAGTGATTAAAAATAAAGTTCTTTGAGGAAGGTGAATTCAATAGGTAAAATGCTCATGAAATAATATTGGATGAAAGAAGAAGGAAGCATAGTTATAGATACAGTATGATCTATATGCAATTATACATTGCATATATATTATATGTAGTAGATATTACACACATGTTTTGTGCACACCACAGAAAAAATAATTTAAGGAAATTCACCAAAATGTTAGCAGTTTTAACAGTTGTTTTCTCTGGGTTGGTGACACCATGTATTTTTTTTTTATTATTGATTTTTTACAGAGAGGAAGGGAGAGGGATAGAGGGCCAGAAACAACGATGAGAGAGAAACATCGATCAGCTGCCTCCTGCACACCTCCTACTGGGGATGTGCCCGCAACCAAGGTACATGCCCTTGACTGGAATCGAACCTGGGACCCTTGAGTCCGCAGGCCGATGCTCTATCCACTGAGCCAAACCGGTCAGGGCAACACCAGGTATTTTTCATTTTTTTCTTTATGTTTTTCAACAATTTCCAATTTTTCCACATTGAATATGTGTCTGTTTTGTAATACAAGGAACTGAATTCTGCCCATTACAGAAATGAGCTCAGAAGAGAGCCCTCAGCTCCAGATAAAAACACAGCTGGCTAACACCTTGATTCCAGCCTGAGCAGAGAAGCCGGCCATGCTGAGCTGGACTTCCAACCTACAGAACTGTGAGCTAATAAATAGGTGTCATTCTAAACTGCTAAAAAAAAAAAATTACTCTTAACTCTGGCCGGTGTGCTCAGTTGGTTGGGCATAATCCTGTGCACTGAAAGGTTGAGGGTCAATTCCAGGCCAGTGCACATGCCCAGTGTGGGCTCGATCCCCAGTAGGAACTCTCTCTCCACCATTCCTCTCTCTCTAAAAATCAATAAAAATATACTTTAAAAATTTGCCCTTAGTTTTAACATGATTTTGAAGAATTGGTGACTACAAAGTAGACAACTGGCATCTTTCCTATCCCTTCCTTTGTTGGTTCCTCAGTTATAGAACCTTTATGTCTCTTAAAAAACACACAAAACAGATTGCAAATTGGGTTTCACATTTTTTCCTACCAGTCAAATTGGTCAAGAAATTTCACCTTCTCACCTGGATGAATTAAAAGACCTGACATTGAGATGACCACCTATGTCCATGCCCTGGTGTCAAGAATCAACTTGAGAATGGGTCTATCACATTTGAACTGTATTAAAATATCTGAGAGAAGATTCCCAGATCTTGTCTGTATTTATATGTTTATTTTTTTGTGGTAAATATACATAAAATTTACCATTTTAACCATCTTAAGAGTACAATTCATTGGCATGTTCACAATGTTGTACATCACAACTATCCATTTTCAGAATTTTTTCATTGTTCAAAACAGAAGCTTTGTTCCCATTAAACTATAATTCCTCATTCTTGCTTCCCCCATGATCCCTGATAATTTGTATTCTACTTTCTGTCTCATACATATGAATTCATATGCCTCATATAAGCAGAATCATACAATATTTGTCCTTTTGTGTCTGGCTTATTTCACTTAGCATAATGTTTTCAAGATTGATGTTGTAGCATTTGTCAGTACTGCCTTCCTTTTTTTTTAAAATATATTTTATTGATTTTTTTACAGAGAGGAAGGGAGAGAGATAGAGAGTTAGAAACATTGATGAGAGAGAAACATCGATCAGCTGCCTCCTGCACATCTCCTACTGGGGATGTGCCTGCAACCAAGGTACATGCCCTTGACCGGAATCGAACCTGGGACCTTCAGTCCACAGGCCTACGCTCTATCCACTGAGCCAAACCGGTTTTGGCCTGCCTTCCTTTTTATGGCTGAATAATATTACATTATATGTACATATTACATTTTGCTTATTAATCTGTTGATGGACACTTGGGTTGTTGTGAATACCATTCAAGTTGGCTATTGTGAATAGTGACGCAATAATGATGCTGTTGATACCACATAGGGACTTTGACCCAGGAACCCAAGGATGCCAGCTGATCAGAAGAAACACCAGATAAGCTAACCACAAGAGTGTCACCACTCCTCCACTCCTGGCCCAAGGGTGCAGAAGTAGCCTTTCTTATCTCCCTTCTAACTGCTTACTTTTTTTGTAGATGTCAAAACCAGTAGTTCCTAAGAAACCGACTGAGAAAGTAGCTCAACCCTGACATGGAAAATTCTCACTGCCCACCTTTTCCAAAATGCCTGCCTTGTTCCCAGCTTATAAAAGCAGCCAGTATGCCCTGATTGGGTAGCTCAGTTGGTTAAGAGCATGGTTCCAATATGCCAAAGTTTTGGGTTCAATCCCTGGAATCAACCAATAAATGCATACTTAAGTAGAATAACAAATCTCTCTCCCTCTCATCAATAAATAAAAATTTTTTAAGTAAATAAAGAACAGCCAAGCAGAGCCAGCTCCTGAATCAGTTCGGAGGACCTTCCTTTCCTCTGGGCTGCCTCCCTTGTGCTTGAACATAAGCTTAATAAAATCTGTCTGAAAAAAAAAAAAAAAAAAAAAAAAAAAAAAATCTGTCTGAAATTTTCTCTGGGGTTTCCTCTTGATTTTTATCTTGGAGAACCCAAGAACCCCAATGGTGGTAACACTATGAATACTAGTATCTGTTTTTGTCCCCACTTTGAATTGTTTGGGGTAAATACCAAGGAGTAAAATTTCTGGATCACATGGTAATTCTATGTTTAACTTCTTGAGGAACCACCAAACTGTTTTCAACAGTGGGCTGCACCATTTTACATTCCCACCAGCAATTCAGGAAGGTTTCAATTTCTCCAATAGTTGGTATTTTCCTTTCTCCTGTCTTTTTTAAAAGAGTCATCCTGATAGGGAGTGAAGCAATATCTCATTATGGTTTCAATTTGTGTTTCCCTAATGATTAGTGATATTGAGCATCGTTTCATGTACTTATTGGTCATGTGTATATCTTCTGTGGGAAAATGTCTATTCAAGTCCTTTGAGAGAGAGAATCAACCATCTGTTGACTCCCACACATCCCCGTAAATGGGAATCTAAACTGCCACTTTTTGGTGTTCAAGACAATGCTCTAACCAACTGAGCCACACCAGCCAGGGTGTAAGAGTTCTTTATATATTCTGTATTTGATTTAGTTTTGAACTTGACTAAATCCATCTCTTTATTAATCAGAAGACTTATAAATATAGATTCCAGCCCTGCCGGTGGGGCTCATTTGGTTGACTGTCAGCCATGCACCAAAAGATTGTTGGTTCAATTCCTGGTCAGTGCACATGCCTGGGTTTCCAGCTCAATCCCCAGTAGGAGGCCTGCAGGAGGCAGCTGATCAATGTTTCTATCTCTCACTCCTCTTTTCTTCTCTCTCTAAAATTAAAACAAAATTTAAAAAATTAAATATATATATACATACACACACACACACACACACACACACACACACACACACACACACACACGAGGCCCGGTGCATGAATTTGTGCATGGGTGGGGTCCCTCAGGGTGGCCTGCAGAGATCAGGCCCCAGCTTGCGCCCGCAGCCCCACCTGGCACCCTGCCTTGGCCTGGTGCCACCCCCTCACCTGCCCCACCATCCCGCTGTGGTCCTGCTCTCATTAGGGCCCATCGGGGCCAGCAGCACCTTCACTGCCACCAGCTGCCAGCGCTGTGTCGCCAGCACCCGCCATGTTCCGCATCGACCCCTGGTGGTCAGCGCACCTCATAGCAAGCAGTTGAATTCCCAGTCGAACTAATGGTCGAACGACCGCCAGAGGGGACAATGTGCATATTAGGCTTTTATTATATAGGCTTTTATTATAGGCCTTTAGAATAATCTGAACTAAATTTTCTTCAGAAGCAAAAATAATATGAAATAATATAATCTGATGGGGTTTTAATGATAATGGAGTGTACTTAGGTCAACAGAAGTTTCTGCTAAACTGTTCTTCTGGACTGGCCAAATTAGTTAAGAGCAGTAAGCCAGAAAAAAATGTTAAGCAACAAAAGACAAGACTTGTTTCAGACCTGTGTTTTCTGTGTACCTTTGTACCTAAGCCTGCTGCTGGCCTCTCTACTCTAAGCCTTGGTGTCCAAAAAAACTGGTGGGAAATTAAAGAGAAGTTTCAGGGATGTTTTGGCTTGTCGTGGAGGAAGGAGCGCTCCAGGAAATCATTTGGGGATCTTCTAGGTAAAAAGACTCTGAAGAAATGGAGACTATACTTGGGGAACATACTATGAGAATAGGAATGCAATTAGGAGTACATTATGGGAGAGCACTTTCAGAGACATTGAGAGAATGACCCTTCAGATATCAACATTGAGTTAGAGGATATGAAACTACTTATTCAGCAGTAAATATTTGGGGCCAGGGTTTTTTAATTAAAACAAACCACCAATTATGCTTTTCACCCCCAGAACTGGTTTTAGAAACACTATCTTGTGGGAATATTGCAGCTGGGGAAGTTATTTTAGGAGGCAATCTAAATATTTACTTTCAGGCTGTAACCTTTGCCTTATTTGTAGTCTAGTTTAAGCCTTTAGACTGTAGACAAGATACAGGCATTTAGGTGTTGAGATAGTTACATGAATATTAAAAAAAAACTGCCCCATGCTAACAAAAATCTACCTTTTCAAAATAGCAATATAAAAATTGGTTATATCTAATTTTAGAAATAAGTAGAAAATATAATAAATAGAAATTATTTTTATGTAGCATTTCATTATAATTATTCAACGTATATTCCAAACAAGAGGAGGGAATGCTATTTTAAAATTCTACCAAAGCCTGCTAATGAGTTCTTTACAATTATGAATAAGTAACTTTTAAATTTCTGGGTTTTATTAATCTATAAACTCGCTTTTTAAAAAAGGGCCTAAATCATATATATGTAGTATATAGGTTTAATTTACTGTTATATTGTAAAAATATACAATTTAATTGAGAGAAAAGTGGTGTAGAGTGGTTTATTATAAAACTTAAAAAGAAAGAGGACATAGGGTAAATATTTTCTTATTAAATCATTGCCTGGAGTTAGGCCAAGAAGTGAAGAAAGGTTTGTAAATGTTTGTTTTTGTTTCCATTGAAAAATGCAAACTTTGTTATTTTGCCAGCTTTGAAAGTCTGTCTTTTTTTTTCTGAGGGGCTGGGGTGGAGGCAATTGGAGGGTATGGCCTGGAAGTTCAACAGACCGGGAGGAGTGTTACTTCCTTTTCTTCAAGTTTTAGAATCTGTGGATAGCTAGGACCAGTCTCCAAGGATAAGGAAAGGATGTGGCGTCATAACTCTTAGTAACTTGGAGAGCAGGACCCGATCAATTGAAGTCCTAGATTCAGTTCATTATTACTTTCAATCCAGGAAGGGGGGATAGGGCAAAGTCTGTGGCTCTGAGTGTGACTCGATTTCTAAGGACAGGCCCTACAAACAACCCACTCTGAGATGCTCCTTACCAGGAAATGACTCTGCCTTAATCCCATGGGAATACTGAAGCGCAGAGGTCTCAGAGAAACTCTTTGCTTCCTTCAATTAAAAAAAACTGGGGTGGGGTCAGATCTATTTTTGTTCCTAACGCTTGCTTCTAAATGTTGGAATTTTCCTCACGGTGAGAAGGTTTTACATTATGAAGGCTGGGTCAAGGGAGCCCCTCCCACGTGAATAAAACACTCACGTAGAAAACAGCCTGCTGTTTTCCTCTTGGCAACCCTGCACATCCTTGACTCCCTCCAACATCCATTCGTTACCAGGTTTTACATCCTAAATAGCTCTCAATGCCCTTGTGTCCCAAGGCCTTTCATTCTTGTATTCAACAGATTTATCAACCATCCACTGTGTGTCAGACTGTGCTAGTTGCTGCAGATACAGCAGTAAACCAAACTCCAGTTTGGTTTGGATTGGGATATCAAACCATGCACATCTTAAAGTCTGGTTCCTTGAAAATGATGGCTGAAAAATCCTATTGATGCAAATAAGCATTGTAAAAAGCATGTGATTAGCAAAACTTAACACCAAATTGATAATAATGAAGCTAAACTAACAATAACTGAGATTTTTAAAAAAAGATTAAGGCAACCTAATACTTAAAGACCAACCTGAGTCAGCATTGATAATGCACCCTTAACAAGCCTTTTGAGCTTGACAACTGAGGAATTCCAACTATCTGGGTATTTACACAATGGGAACTTTGCAAATTTACTAGCAACTCAACTTCTCAG